CTTGTTTTGTTTGTAGCTAATTTCTAAATTTAATTTAATGAATTTTGTTTTCATAAAAATCTCATGATAAAATATTATCTCTTGAAACGAAATTATATAAAAAAATTATAAGAAATACGTTTTAAATATTTTAGCAATTTAGAAAAAAAGAAATTTATCCAAAAAAAAAATCATCTTTCAAACTAATCCAAATCAATTCAAAAAAAATATATAATAAATAACTAATAATATATAACTTTTCTTTCCTTATTTATTTAATATCCAAAATATTTACATCGATTATTGTAATCGATGTCAATATGTATCATTTGCAAAAAAAGATGTTAACTTTGACATTAGTTTATTTAAGTGATATTAATATTTATTTCGGTTAAAAATGATGTTAATATTTCTATAATTTTCAAATTAATAATCTTAAATATTTTCCACAATTATTATTTTATTAATTATTTTTTTTTGGTATAAGAATCATTTTCTTTCATGATAATATATAGGAATAATCGTTTTCAATATTATCTATGAAAATCTTATTAGATTTTTTTACTAATAATCATTAAAAAAATCGGCATTTACAAAAATGAAAACGATTCATAAATATATATAACCCTATCAATATAGACTCATCAGCTATTTTACAAAAAAAAAAACTGATCTGAACTTCGATCATGATTGAGCGCTCATATTGAAGTGTTCTATGAAACACATTTTGCTTTTGTTCCTTTCTTTTTCCTTTCTATTGTCTTGGTGATATTGTTCCTTCATCTTCATATCTAAACGGAAATAACATGAAAAAATAAGTCATAAGAGAATATTTGCCTTCAAAGATTTTAGAAGATTAAGTGAGCGACTGTGTTGGACATAACTTGATTCACCAAAAGTTGTATAGTTGGCGTCGTTCAAAGAAGAACTTCTATGGACTTAGAGAAGAGTTTTATGTTCTTGTGACTCCAGCCTTTTTTTTTTCTCTCGATTTTGGGAAAGAATTTTGACAAAAGATTTGATTTATACTACACGAAAATTTTCTTTAATTTTATTTGAGTTACAGAGACAGTGGGTTGTTTAAAAAGTAGATTGAGTAGTGGAAATTTTTTTAAAAAAAATATACAAAACAGTTACAATACAAAATTGAAGAAAATAACAATAAAAGGTTGAGTTAAAAAAAAAAAAACAATAAAAGGTTAGGAATATAAAGAATAAAAGAAAACAGTTTCAAAAAGAGCCATGTAAATAGGAAACTAACTAAAGCCTAAGTACGTTTGCACAAAAAAAAAAAAAAAAAACTAAAGCCTATGTACGTTTGTGAATATGAACCCAAATATAATTACTTATTTGTGGATAAGATTTTTGATATACAGATTAATTATTCTTAAAACTGTTTGTGCGTTTTATAAATTTGTCATTTAAAAAAGGGAGACTCACAAAAATGCCCCTTTTTTAATACCCTTTTTCAAAAATGCCCCTTTTGGCTGTCCATTTTTAAAAATACCCCTTTTTATGTACAAAATGACTAAATTACCCTTCTTTTAATAAAAGATATCACAAATATATAAGAAAATATAACAAAATTAGGTCCACAAAATACAAAATATTTATTTGGCGGGAAAAGTGATCCCACAATTTTTCCCGCCAAAACACTTGTAAAAACTTGTAAAACCTTTAAAATACCTTGTAAAATTTTTGCGTAAAACTTTTTCCCGCCAAAAAATTTTTTTCGCGGGAAAAGTGATTCCGCAATTTTTTTGGCGTTAAATTTTTGGCGGGAAAATTTTTCCCGCCAAAAATTTACAAGGTATTTTAAAGGTTTTTTACAAGGTATTTATAAGGTTTTACAATGTATTTTAAAAGGTTTTACAACGTATTTACAAGGTATTTATAAGATATTATAAGATTTTACAAGCTATTTTATAAGGTTTTTACAAGTTATAAGGTTTTACAA